TTTTCCCTTCCCCCCCCCCCCATCACTTATGACATTACTTGATTTGGAGGGTGTTAACGTCCTCCTTCAAATGTATTATTTATTAATTTTTGATTAGGTATACGTAATAAACGTTACTAAGGCCCGTTCTTACCAAAAACTGATAAACTCTGTTTACAGGAAACTACGGTTATCGTAAATCGTAATCCAAAGATTAATCTCGGTTCATAAACGAGTGCGTTTCACATTGATAACAGGGTTTTTAATAAACAAGTTTTCAATAAACCTAGGTTATGTACTAAACTACGATTATATGGTAGATAGCGAACTGATAATCATTGATAATGTGATAATGAGTCATGTTGATTAATTTATACAATTAATACAATTAATTTATAGTTTAGTTTTGTTAGTTATACAATTTCAAAATTAAAATTAAAAATGTATTAAAAAGAAACAAAGAGAAAATCTATACCAAGCCACGGAGAATGAACTTTTTATTGATCTTGAACAGCAGAACTATGAAATGATAGAAAATAAAAAAAAACTGATGCTATTAGTAGTCCAGCTAAGCAAAATTGGTGGAGAATAGTTGCGAAATTTTTTCAATTTCACATCTACCGTGGAAATAAGTCTAAAAAAATAATAATAATACGTAATGATTGTAACAAATCTATAAACCGAATTTATAGCTGATAATCTAGCAAAAGTGGTCAGTTCTCTTATAAATGCGGTTTATAGTTAATTGCTTTTGGTGAAACTCATCGTTTCAGCTATCGGACGTTTATTTGATAAGCGGGGTTTTATAACCAGATAAACTAAGTTTATAATTGTGGTGAGAACGGCACTAAGTCATATTTGCGATCTTCTAGTTGCCGAACAATATTTTGATGAAAAAATCAATGAATTTTGTTTCGAAATATAAAGTCGAGTGTAACCTAGCAGAATTTTTTTTTTTTTGTAATTTTTAAAATCAAATTTTGACGAAAATCGTAAATATCACGGCCTTTCAATACATGTATACAGGAACTTTGTTTCAAATCGTTTTTCATTATCAGTGGTTTGTCATTGGTTACAGATATACAAGCTCGTATACAGGTAGGGGGTAAAAATTCAACTTCCCCTAACATATTTAAAATAGATAAATATGTATAATGTAACAAAAAGTGACTACAAGTTCATGTATTAAAAATATTTCAACCCCGCCCCCTCCGAAAATTGATCCTGAATACGTGCTTGCAGGTATAAAATATATAATTTTATATATCCTACATTTCCCACTATCCACCTACAACAGTGGCTACACAGAGTCGTATCGCGCCATCGGGCTACAACTATTTCAGTGCTCCCTCCTTCACATTTTCTCCACACTATCTCTTAAAAACAATGTCTAACTGTGTATTTAATTCTATTATTTTTACAAATGGTAGTACTTACATTACTGCTGCAACTTAAAAATTAGTAAACCTACAAGCAGTGTTCTGTAATAATATTTTTTAAATAAAATTAGTTTTCAAAAAGACACACGTAATATAATTGATAATAAACCCTATCGTTTTCGTAAATAAAATGTAATTGTTTTTCATGATTGTATATTATTTTGGCCACCTGATGTTATTACACTGAGGTCACATATTATTTATAAAATATAACACAACCACTGGTCAACACACACATTCTTGCAGCGAACGGATATCGTTATGGATATATTTAACGACCTTGAAGTTAACTCCATCAAGTTGTCCGATTGAATTTAAACCTACGCCAATATTTTGCAAATTAGTTACAAATAATTGTAAATTGGTTTTTACAATTTGTAAATTGCACAAAAAGTCGTAAATTCGATTTTTAGTTTCCACCGTTATGCTCTAATATAAACTCGCGGCATCCAGCAACTAGCCGTCAACATAAAAAAACAAATATTAGAAAACATACAAATGTACCTAATTTATGAACCAGTTATAATAGAAATATAACTATAGATACTCCTCGGGTGGAATATAGTGATGATGAAATAACAAGAATTATTTTGTTAAAATAAATATGCCATTTTACAATCAGTAAAATTAAAAACAATAAATGAATTTTGGTTATATAATTTACAATACATAGAGTTATTTTGTAAAATTAATTTACATGGCTCACCAAAAAAAAAAATCACGTCTAAATTCTAATGTTCTAATCTAATTTAAGAGGAAGGGGTATGTGCGATTTTTGAAAATGTAAATACGTGGTGCGCAGAATAAAAATGATTGGGACCCATATCTGTTGATTGTCCATGGTATACATTCAAATGTATAGTTTCCATGGAACAACAAAATACCTAGGATTTCTAATCATATTGTTCATGAAGTCAAATAAGTAATACACACATTTTTTCATGTAATACCTTAAAATATGGAAAACTGGGGAAATATATTGTACTTCACTGAATTATTAATTGCAAATAAAATATTTTTACTGTAATAGGTAATTTTTAGTATTAATTATTTTTACTAAATTTCTCAAATAAATTTCAGTGAATTTATATTATAACTTATAAGAACACAAAATTGAAGTTTTTAGTACTTTAGTAGACATAAAAACAATAAATACTCCACAGTCAAATTTTCACATATATAACCTATATTATCCTTTATTTAACAAAATAATTATAATTTCGATTTTTGATTATGGTAAAACAATAAATTACCACAACAATATCATATAATATATACATAATTTGTTCATTAAACAAACATTATGATTTTTAACTTTATACATGTTTATATAAGATATATACTTATAATTAATTTAATTTATACAATATATATTTTTAATTACATAATTTCATAAACAATGTTGCTAATATTGATTCATTGAGCAGCTCTTCAATATTAATATAATACAATATTTTACTATTATTAACAAACATCAGTGCAATAAGACAATTCAAATTAATAAAATCAACTTAAAATAGATGTATTCAATTTATTATTGCTTTTTTTTAACATAGAATATAATTTTTTATTGAAATAAATAATACTGTGATTTAAATATTAAGTACATAATTGAATTTGTAGACAACACAACTTTAAATTTAGGTATAGTATTAACCAAAACCACAATGCTTAATAAATAAAATGATTGCATACATAATACCACATATTCTATTTAGAAAATAATAGTTTCAAAAAGAAAAAAAGAGATCTCAATTTAAAAATGATACTATTTAAACGATTAATTAAAATTACTTAAATTTGTTCAGTTACAGTGTTAAATATTCTGTTTTTATCATTGTATTTCATTATCTACGGACGGATTTTAATGATACATTTACATACTTACAATTTTAAATAAAAATAGGTCAAATTAGTTAATATAATGAAGTTTCTCGTTAACAAAATAAAAGTTTCAAAGTAAATGTACCTATCCAATAAAACACTAATAAAGCCTTTTTTCTTTCTTCTTTTACTTGAATCCTTATTCTATAAAACAATTGATTGTAATGCGTTATATAATTTGTATAACCTAGTATTAAGATACAATATTAATAATAATAATATAAATATATACAGATTATCCCAAAAAAAGATTTACTTATTTAAAATGTTGAAGTAATGAAATTTACATTACTTTCACCATTTTAAAATAGAAATTATTTGTAGGACATATATTAATAATATATATATAAATATATATATACTATTATGTATAAAACTTTTTAAATGGTAACAAGTCTCTTAATATATTTTATGACATATTAACATTCATACATATATATATATATGCATTTATAATAAAACATTTAATTAGGTAATTGTAAGTGTCATGATGCAGAATTTAATAATGTTAATATTTGTTAATGTTTTGAAAAAAAATATATATGACCACATAAATATACATCAACTAAAAAAAATAAAATAATTATTTAACCTACATTAAAATTAAATAAAATTAAAAAATAATAATAATTGAGCTGCCCATTAGCTATAATATAACACAGCCATAATTGTTGGTTGCTATTGACATATTAGCTTTAAAGATGTATAATAATTATTAAGTCAATATAAAAATGTGATCTATCAGGTACATGTGTAAACATCTAGGTATCATATACATCATTATTATATTGGTACAACACTGATAGCTCTGATTTTTGTTTCCAACATCCAATGAGCATATTATTGCTGATATTAAGTAGTTTTTTTATTACAAGAATAGTGATAAACTTAATAATTGGTGGATGTCTTAGTTTTGGATACTGATATTCCACGTTCTCGACGTTTTTGGGACCTTTGATGGTGATGAGAATGATGATGTCTGTATTTATTATGGATTTGATTATGGTGGTAATAATGATTTTTATGGTGCCGTTTCCTACGTTTGTGCTGTTGTGTCTTACGATCCATATTAGAGTTACAAATATCATGGCGATCCTCAACATTGTTCATTAATGACGATGAAGTTGATTGTGAATTAGTACTATTTGATGAAGACAAACTTAATACTGAACCCCAGTCAATGGACATAACTGTTGTTGTATTACTATTACCTAATAATGGTAAAGTATTATTGTCACATTGGCTACCCCCCATAGTCAATTCTGTATGTCTTTTATTATTATAACTGCCATCATAGATTTGATTTTCCATAAGTGGAGAATTAGAACTGTCATCTTCTTCATCTTCCTCATCATCATCCTCCTCATAATCGTCTGAAATAAGATAATTATCACATTCTTCCACACTTCCATTTAATTGATAATATTGAAGATGATGATTATTTAACTCTAGATTAGATGTCATTCCTGGGACATGACTATGGTGATGTTCTTTCATGTCCTCATCCTCATCATAGTAGTATTCATCATCCACACCAGAATCTATCGAATCTGAGGTACTACTACTGCTGCTGCTGCTACTGCTACTATTATGTTCAACAGCCATCTCTGTTCGGCCATTTCTGTATTCAGTAGGGTAAGGTGTTGGAGATCGTCTATTGATATTGTTATTATTATTCTGATTATGTGGTTGTGAGACTTCAATTCGTTGATGATGTTGTGATGCAGATGATGTAATTGGGGTACAACAACGACGTTGTTGAGCTTGTGCTGCTTGTGCAGCTTCTCGTGACATTTCACGTTCAATCAATCTCAATGTATTACAGATAAGAACAGACCTCCGTAGTCCAGTCTCACAACTTTGTTGAGAACTGCCATTTCCAGAACCTCCACTTGATTTTCCTAATTTTCGCATTGAAGCATCAAAAACTGCAGCTCTTCGTCGTCTGTAACATTGTGTGGATGGTACACAAAGACCCAATTCACAGCACTCTGGTTCATTGTTAGTTCTCTGTTGAATTGTAGTTATACAACTACCACCACTACCCAAATCCAAATAACACTTTCCATTTGTGTCACATTTAATAGTTTGTTGTTGTTGATGATTTTGGGTCCAATGGTTCTGAGTATGATGTTGAGATGATGATAAATTTGATAAAGATGATGAGTTTGAAGAATTTGTTACACTGCTACCATTTGATGAGGACATAGTGGATAAAGGGGACAAACTACCAGCTGGTAGATATTGGTCATTATCGTCTTCATCATCATCATCATCATCATCGTCGTCATCGTCGTCATCGTCATCGTCGTCGTCGTCATCTTCATCATCATCGTCCTCAAGACTGCAATCTGAATCTTCAGTTACAGCTGCTATGGCTGCTACAATTGATGAGGTTGCAATCTCATCATCTAGTCGAGATGCTGTGTCCAATTGTTCAACGATAAGTTCATTTTGTAATAGATCTTCATTATTGATCATACGTCTGGCTATTTTGGGAATATGATCATCTAATGAAGAAGATAATCTTCTTTTACAAGCGCTTGATTCACTGCCAGTTTCATGTGACATACTTGTGTTCGCTGTTGTCATAGAAGGAACATGAATACCCATGTTGTTCAGTAACAGAAAGCTATTCTGCTGACAAAAAAAAAAAAAAAAAATTAATGAACTAATTGATTAAACTATGTAATAATAATGATAAATAGGTAGAAAATTTAGTACAGAATATGTGCACAAAATTGAAACGAAATAAAAATGAAATATTTCTAGATTGTAAACTTTGCCTAAAGTTATTGGTACCTATTATAGTTACATAATAATTAAAACTTCGATTTGATTATTTAAATCATTAATAGGTATATTAATAAAATTATTCAATTCGATTTCACTATAGTTACCTATCGTTATTCTTTATAATTTATCAATATCTTTTATGGAATAAATTTTTTACAATGAATTTGTCACAATTGGATTGAGTAATAGTCGTTTTAAACATTTCAATAACCACTATAACCTATCATAATATGACGGGCATAAAACTAGTTTTTAAAATATACAGTGTGGCTCTTTTATAATGAAGCAGTAATTACCTAGGAGGATTTTAGGTGAATTTTAGTTTTGTTTGTTTTAAATCATTATAGAACCATTTTAGATTTTTTTAACAGTTTTAACTTTTTTACCCATACCTCATACATATTTTCTATCATACTAGTGCCGTAGTAACATTTCAATACAAAGTCAACTAGTACTTAAAATTTAAGGTCTAGTATTAATTATTTAAACTATTAAAATAAATCAACAAACAAAATGTATAATAACGGGTACCTACAATTATTTTATTGCACCAGTAAAATTAATACTGTGATTTATTTTCAGTTTAGAACGCGGATTTGTATAATACCGAAGAATCTCGAATCTCGATTATCCGAACCTCCGTTACATGAACCCCTCTATTATCCAAACTACAATATTAGCGTCCGGACGCTCTGTTATCCGAACGTCAAAACTTGTTGAAGCACTCGAACACCCGCGGCCTGGCCTAACCGATTTTATAATTGTCACAATTTATTATTAGTACATGCATATATAAACATACATCATACATAATATATTATGTATGCACGTGTGTTAACCGTTAGTAGATAATCGAGACACGATGTGATTATCAAACGCCAATACGCGTTGAAAAAATTTCGTCAAAAAAATATAAACATACGATGTTCCTATTTACCTACTTTGTGATTATACATTTCTAAATACATAATGTAATTCTAATACAAAAATAATAAATATTTAATACATAATAATATATAATATATAATTGTATATCTTTAAACAATTTCCAGTATCCGAAGGTACATGGGTACATAGGCGCGGTCCCAGTATGTTCGGATAATCTCAATTTATCCTCGGTTCTACGTTTCTACAAAAAACCAGTAAACAAAACGTCCAATACGGGTTTAATCGATTACAAAGTGAAACCTTTAAACATATTTCACTCAGAATTTTACGAAAAAATGTTTACCAAAATACGCTGTTAAAAAAAATTAGAAAATATAAGTACTCTATAACAACCAATTTTTATTCTTTTAAACATTAAATTCAAATTTCGTATTTTGAATCACAATATCACGCAACGAATTTCGTGTTTACTTAACATATTGTACAATTATTTAGAATAACAAGTAAATAATATGCAATTGCATACAAATTCTCTATCTAATTATTTCCTGCTATTACATTAAAACTAAAAATCTTCTAGTCGATACACTTAACCATGCTTTATTAACGCGTTCTTAGTAAAATAATAAAATCAAGAGAGGGAAAACTACCTACATACAGATAATTTAAATTTTATTTTTAGGACTTTACGATAAAAATACACGTCCTACTTTAATAACTACTGGCAAAGAAAAATAAAAAACATTTTTGACATTTTAACAATGCAATGTGCCTACAAAATGATATTCAATGTACACAATTATTAGAACTTCTGGATATTGATTGATGATGATTGGTTATTTTCAAAAAAAAAAACGTTCGGGAATGACATAAAAACTTAATAAAAAATATTTCTATACATTTGTTTTTCAAGTATCTAAGAATATTACTGACGATATAAATCTCTTCTGAAATAGAACACATTCCCTATTCTACCAAATTCAATGGCCTGGTAAACGATGTTTCGGTAACACAATATAGTAAAGCTCACAACAGAAATGTGAGAAAAGAGGTGGCTCACCATTTCGCTTCAATTTTAAAAATTTACTTGAAGTTTGGATAATGTAACCGATTACGAAAAATTGCATAATTTGTAACATTTTATTTATTATAATCTTTTTAAAATATGATCGTAGGTAATGTGAATGCACATAATTATTATAATCAACTTTACCGAACTCATAACGAAAATGAAATATTAATCAATGACAAATAAATTAAAATATTTAAAATAGATAATAATTTTAAGCCGTAATATATTATAAATAAAACAAACTAGCCGCGTTTAGGGGGGGAAAAAAATTCTTACATGGTTTTCGCACGAGCGTCGTATTATTGCAGAGTTTCTTTGAAGTTATCTGATACCGGACTTTCCATTCATATAATAATCACCGATACTCATAACGCGATACTAAGATTATTATGTATAAATAAACACCGAACGAAAATAAAAATAACTTTAAAAAAAAATTATAGTAATAATACAATTTAAAAATGCGACTAGATATATTTATTTTAAGTTGACGGCGTTGTTATGCGTATAATATTATTATAATATTATGGGCCCGTCCGTGTCGCTCCGTGGCATACCAGCAGCGCCACCTAGTTACCGGTCGTCTGTAAAGAAACGATCGTTGTACACCTCGTATAGATGGCGTTGAAGCGCACGTACGTGGAACGAAACGAATTTTATTTTCCACACGGGACTAGATCGCAGGTACGTACACCGATGTCAGATATCGTGTATTTCCGAATCGCACAAATTCGAAAGAGATCTCGTTGTCCGGACCGAAACGAATTTTTATTTCGAAACGAAAACAGGGACGAAACGGGGGGGGGGAAACAAAACAAAAGCAATAAATCATTTTATTTTATCGCGGAATATTCGACGGACGTTTTTCGTCGGCTCGCCCCGATCGGTGGCGGCAGCATCGGGAAAGAGGGTTGACGATGCGCGCTTAACGGACGTACGAGTGGAATAGGGGTTAATGTCGTACCGGTTTCGCGTCGTCATCGCATTACCCTCTAACCCACCTACACTCGTCGGGAGGAACAACGACGCCGTTGGTTCGTCGACGACAAATTATTATTTCGCTGCGCTCGTACCTCCCGTGTGGGATTGTGTGATCGATACATAAATACAAGTATGTGCCCATTTGACGTATTACACAAAACGTGAAATTACACCGTCGAAAATACAAAATAATTATTATTATCATTTCTCTACTCACCCTCTTTCCCCTCTGACCCCCCCCCACCGAAACCGTAGTGGCGCGACCGTCCGTAACAAGTGGTCGGGGTACGGACACGACGGTGGTCGCCGCCGCCGCCGTCGTCGGGCCCCGCCGTCGTCGACACGAACCGCGAAAATAATAATAGGCGAGTAAAAAAACCGCTGCAGGTAGGTTAGGTTGGGCACGGGCACGAAACGTTGCCGAAACTATTACGGGGACGGAATGAAAGAAAGAAAAAAAAAATATTATTATTACTATTATGTTATTCGTTCGACTATGGCGATTTCGCTTCGAGTCTCTTTCTCTCTGCCACTGTCGCCGTCTCTCTCACTCTCTCTCGCTCGCTCACTCACTCACTCACTCACTCGCTCGCTCGCTCTCTCTCTCTCTCTCTCTCTCTCGCTCGCCAAAGTCCGCTATTATATTATTCGTTACGCGGCGGCTGTTGCTCCGTGTGTTGTTAACACACTTTCTCCGCATAGTTCTTCCGCTAACAGCCGCCGCCGGTACCAACCTACCTATACGCGCATATACAACAACAACAACAACAATAAAAATATACGTTGCTTTCTATTTGCAAAAATCATACGGAATAAAATCATAATGCGCTGGACGGAATACACCGCCGCCGACACGGCAGCAGCAGCAGCAGCCGCAGCTACCACGACCACCGCTGATAATTAATAATAATTACAAAAAGAACCGAAAACTCGTACCTGCGCATACTACCGATATTTTATTCGCGAGGGGCAACCTCTCACCCTCCCCCTCCCCTCCCCGAAGCGTTCGGGAAAACGAGAAAACAATTACTATCCGCCACCCCCACCCTTTTGGGTTGGGGTATTTTCCGGGGCCGACCGACGGGTTTATTAATGCGTCGCGCCCGCGGGGTAACGTCGTCGCTCGGGGAAGGAAAACGACAGGAAAAAAAAAAATCACGATCGAGGAGATATCATTACGAAATACTCGACGACCAACCCGCGTTACGTACGGGGTACGTACCTACCCCGCCGGGTAATCGCGCGATCTAAAATACCGCGGATGTTTTTTTTTTTTTTTTCTTTCAGCGACGTTTCCACGATCGCGATATATTATTTTCGTTGATATTATTATTATACCTACGGGTGTACTTGTAAAATTAAATTAAATTATTTATAAAAAAAAAAAAACCGTTTTCGAGTGGTTAATCGATATAGGTACCTATTGATTCGGATATCTCTTAATACGTGACACACTTTTTTTTTTTTATATACGCATTAAAAGAAATATCGGAAAATTGTTAATTTTCTGTATGTATGTAAGTATCGTAATAATATATAATAGGTGTTAAAAAAAAAAAATTAAAAATTAAAAAAAACGGCAAGTAATAGTAAATAGGTGGAAAAACGAGAAAAATATAACAATTACAAACCAACTATGACCGTCCCCGTTGTCATAGTAGTACAACAATACGTGTAGACGAAAACGTATTCGTCGTTATATTATTACTGGCATCGTCATTATAATATACTGGAATAGCATGATTTTTTTTGTTTTTTTAAATTTTTGTTGAATAAAAATGCGCGGTAGACAAAACGATAACGGAAGAACCGATACTACACGATATTTCGTGTCGTCCCGCGCACATGTCTACGGCACGGACCGTTGTCAACCGCCTGGCGGCGGCGTCGGCGGCGGCGGCGGCGCGGCAGTTGGCGGGAACTTTGAATCGCCACGGGTTTCGTACGCTCGTCGTAACGTATTCTTCGTACACGCGCGCGCGCCCCCGTAACAGTATCTCCCCGACCGAACGTCATTTCGGTTAATCCCGTACGTACGACTCTCTGGTAAATGCGCGTTTAAATAATACACGATCCCGGGTGTCGTAGTAGAAAAAAAAAACAATGAACAACTAAAAGGCGGTATTGACTAACAACGTTACGCGCGGTTCGAGACACCTTTGCAGCCCCCGCCCCCCCAATGATCAAATAAACAATATTACTTCTAGAGGTGAATAATCGGTGGAAAAAATAAAATAAATAACCGAAAATATTAACGATTCTCACCGTCGAGTTGTCCTCGGCGCCGTAACTGTTGTCTTCGTCGTCGTCGTCCTCGTCATTCCACATCTTCATGCGAACGACGCGCGTCGGCTGCGGCTGGGGCACGTAATAATAATCCTGTTGCTGGTGTTCCTCGGCAACGGCCGGCGTGACCGCCGACGGCGGCAACAGTGGCGACAGGAGCCCGACAGTTGTCGTCATTGTGTCCGCGTACCGACGTAGTCCTCTGTCCTTGTCCGGTACTCGTTCTCTGTAGCGCTGTAGCTGCTGCTGCTGCTCCACCGATTGTAATAGTCTTCCCACTCGCGCTCTTCCTGATGGCCGTAATCGTAGAGTTGTCTCGTCGGTATCGGCGTCTGCGGCGCCGGGCCAACATCATACAATGTCAACGACGGTGATGATCGGGGTTTCCGTTCACCGGGTTTCCGCGTGAAACGTTGTCCCCGTTTAATGAGATGTCCACGCAAAGAGGAAGAGAAGTCGACGGATTCCCGTGAGGGTGCGTCGAAAGGGAAAAATGTGAACGAATTCGAAAAATCGCGGTTTTCCCCCGAGTGACGAGGGATACGAGATTCGGAAAGAAACTGAGAAATAAATGAAAAAGAAAAAAGAAACAGGCAAATACCCCAACAACAAGGTACGCTCGGAAATATGCTGCAAAAACAATAGGTGCTAACGATAGCGCGCGCAAAATCGGCCAGACGTGTAGTAAGACGATAATATTATTGTGTTATTCTGTGCGTTAAGGACGTGCCGCGGGAAAAACCAGCAGTACGCTACGGAACACAACGGCGCGTAACTCGTGAATAACACTACGACCGTCGCTATTGCTGACGACGCTGCTTTGCTGTTGCTGTTGCCCCCTTCTACCGCACCCCGCCCCGGCGCCCGTCGTCATGGCCCGCCCACCGCACGGTCACCCCATTACTCGTTTCAACGTCCTCCGCTCGTGTCACGCACGCGCACGATCGCGCCATACCCGCTCTCGTACACGCGCGCACACGGACGCGCTCACACGACCATAACTTTTATACACAAACGACTATTGTGTATACCTATACATTATTTCATTCCTCGTCCGCTCCTCGAGTACACTTCTCCCCGCCGCCGACTCGCCGTACCGTTACCCACCGCCACCGGCCGAACGCCATGGTACGGCGCGCGGGACGGTGGTCGGACGCAGATCGCCGCGCATATTTTCGTAACGTTCGTAACGCGGCCGCCGGCAGCGCGCTCTCGCCGGCAGCGCGCTCTCGCCGTCGCGCCGCGCCGCGTAAAGGCCGCGCGACGGAACGAGAAACGGCGGGATCGTCCCGTTTGTTGTCGAATGATAATAATAATAGTACCTTTGGTATATATATATATATATTTATGTATGGTTATGTATCGAAATGAGCGCGTTGCGGTGTGATACGACGGCGACGGCGACGCCATACACGGCGTGTGCTTTATCACCACGTGCCCGAACTCACGTATTGTAGGCGCGCCCGCCACACCGCACGCACACGGCGGCGGACCCAAGCACCGCGCTCCGGCTTTTTTATCCGTCGTCGCGATTACACATTACCATTGCGTTATCTCCGCGCGTTTATACGCCGTGTACGTACACGTGTGTACGCCCGCCCATCTGCGAGCCGATCTCGTCCGTACGACGTGTAACAATAACTATCGATTATTGTTGATTCACAGCAGAACGTGTTGTTTTTCCAAACGATCGCGAGAAATTAGCGCCTGATGTTTTATAAATAACCGACGACGGCGATTGCATTAATTTATCCGTCCGTCCTCGGCATTTCCCCGCGCGTGGTCCCCGATTCGGCCGATATTATATCGACCGGCAAATCGGACACATACCCGCGTATAATCCAAAGTACACACAGACATGGGCAGACTGGGATTAAAATTGTCACCGGGATTTAGATCTAGAGTGGCCGCATAAGTAAATTGTTCATAGACAAAAGAACGTCTATTGTCCCCGATTAATTGTTGGAACTACTTAAAATTTATAAGAGTGTAAACATGCTAAATGGGCCATACGTTTTGAAACAATTTTGAAACGTTTTTCCAAACTAGAAATGGCCGTGTCAACTGTAAGTTCACACCATCTCATATGCATTTTCCCAGTAAAAACTGTTTCGAATTTAATCAACTTCTCTAAAAACGGTCCTGCCGTAAATCGCGTCGACGTATTGAATTCTAAAAAATAAAACATTTCTTTTGAAATACCAGATTTCCCCACTTGTCGACACGAATTATTCCGATTTATATGTGTCGCACTTTCTGTAAACCCCGCAAGAGCCGCCACTGTAACGTTTATAAGCTACATGTCCAAATTAGGCACTGGCCCACCGAGAAGTTTCCCGGCATCCCGGCGGCCCAGTCCGCTCCTACGAGACAGATCTCGAATTGGAATGGGGGTACCGACTCAGCCAAGGTACCCATTTTAACTGATTTTTCAAAAACTATAGCCTACCTCTATTATATTTTTCTTTAGAACGGAACGCATGAGATGGTACATATTTTGCGTTTTTATAAAAAATGCATTTTCATTCGAATTTGAACTTTAAACGCTTACAAGAAAACAAAAAAAAAAACATCGAGTACCTAAATTACGCTGAATTATTTTGTGTCCGCAAAATTGGAACTCATGATAAACCCTGTGTTAAATTGTCGAACGTTTTTGCTAGGCTAAAATAATTTTAATCATATAAAACCGAATATGTTTCTAAAAAAACTCAACAATTTCAAATGGCTATAAACAACTGAAAAATTGCAAGAAAGTTTGAGAATTGTTCGGTGTCTAGAAAGATTTGTATACAAAAGACTAAATACCTACCGTAGAAGTGTTCAGTGAAATGTCCGAAAAATCTACGATTATTTTCCACTGAATTACACCAAAGATCGAATATAACAGAAACAATTATTGTGTAAATATGTTTAAATAAGTTTTTTTTAGGGTTTTCTCGTATTAAGAATAATCCAATGAAAATCAAAAAATAACCTCCGCATTGAACCGACTAGACAAAATGGTTTACTAGTAGAAACCAACAACTATGTAAAGTTGATGATTGGAGCCATTTTTGGTAAAAAAAATCGCTCACATACAGAAAAAATATTAAAATACGCATCAATGTATCATAGTAAAGCTCAACATAAAGTATACATTACATGTAAGCAAAATGTTATCCTACAATATTATTATCAATCGTTTTTTTTTTTTTTCGTTAATTACTATTTATTTCAAATCGGCGTAAGGGAGCGTGGGGAGCAAACCTCTGACGGATTAAATCGAGTTGATAATTTCAAAGGACGCATTCTGTAAGTCTTTGAGGCCCACTATTTTTTATACCGAGTATTAACACTATAATAATATTCTTTAATGTTTATTATTCTTGTTATTATTATTATTTATTTATTATTATTGATAGGGCCGACGAAAAGGACTCCGTTAGTTTCTGCGAATATTAATAAAATTGTAAAACATAGTCAAACATAATTTATAATCGAACATTCGATTGAATAGAACAGAAAACATTATATCCATTCTTGCTATGATTATATTTGCTAAAATTTAAAACCACGGCCACAACACCGTTCCACGACTACGGCGCATTTTCTTTTTCTATTTGTGCGGTGTGACTGTAATTTATTTTATGTTGCATCATGATTCATGGCCAAAGGAAAGTGCACTTTAATACCAACAATACCGTATTAAAAATTGAGTATCCGATTTAAAGCGGCGCCGATGAGACGGGATAATGTGTGTATGTTTATCTATTAGTCTATATTTTTGATTGGACATTCCGGTATAGGTTTTTTGTTTTGTTTTTTTTATTAAAGTTTATTAACGAGTTTTTTCACTTATGTTATTATTATCGGTTAAATATTTTAAAAAAGACGGATATTCTTCGCACGGAGGTGCAGCCAATGTTGTAGATGGAAAGTTGGGAAGGTAGGATACAGACGGGAATTTGATGTATATCTACCATTAACCATTAACCATTACTAACGAAAAAACGATTCTGAGCGGTGTTCAATGGATAGTGATGCTTTGTCAACAATATATATATATATGTCATATTATGGTAAAATGATTACAATAATGTGCGTTTCCATGCCAACACTGATTGTTTAAAAAAAGATAAAAATAATAAAAACTTAATAACAACGAAAAATAAATAAAAAACGGTTGCCAATGACAACCTTATTTTTTTAGTTTTTCAATTTTTCTTTAACTTAAAGAACCAGGTTTTTCTCATTATATCGAATATTAATGAGAATTTCAAAAAATGACCTCTTTAAAGTACCCACTCAGAAAACATTTCCTTTTATAAAAAGTGCTATACTTGATAATTGCAGTAAGCTTTCTGGTAGAAAGTATTTATATAAAAAGAAAATTAAAATAAAATAAACATCTTTGTAAAACCAATACATTTTTCGCTAAACTCAGAATCTAAAAATACAAAATTAATTATAAAAAAATTTAAAGTAATAAAAAAATAGAGCTGGTACTGCTGATGGGTACGCCACTGTTGTGGATAGGAAATTGGAAAGGTACCTAGTATAAATAATGTTATTTAACGATAAACCATAATGTACGAAAAACAATTTTGATCGAAGTTCGTTTATACATGATTTGAAAAGCCATGATATTTACGATTTTTACCAAAGTTTGACCTTAAAACCATGATAAAAATAAAAATAAAAATATAAATACTAATTTACAATATACTTTTTTCTCACCACTAAGTACAATGTATACTGAACGTCCTATTAAATTTAGAAACATTTCTATTAAAAAACGTAAGATACCAATAAACAGAGAAAATCAAAAACATTTTAAATAATAAAATCGTAAACGTTATAATATTTGACAGTTTCCCCAAAACGTTTTTTTTTTTCCAATTATTATGAAAATCACTTGCAGGAAAATAAAAAAAAAGACCTTCTTCTCTAAGTTTTTTGAGTGATCCATAGTATTAAAAAGGTTGCGAATCACAGCCCCACAATAAAACACGTTTTATTTATATAGGTATTTTCTAATTGAACATATATATAAACAGTAAACACTTTAATATTAATATAGAATTAAGAATATCAATACAATATTGGAAAAAAAAGTTGTAAGTAAATTAATTTGATAGATATTAGTCAAAATCAATATGGTACAACAATAATATTAAATAATACATTTTATAAAGAAAAAATGTGTGTACACATATTATGTTTTATTCATTGTATACGTTATATAGTGTATATTACCAACTCTGTTGAAATAGGGGAAAATTTGAACGGAAGTGTGCTCATAAATGTTCAATGGAAGGGGTCGTGGGAAATATTTTCAATTAAAACCACCAAAATTTGCATATATTGCGTACTGATTATAGAGTTAATAATTTCCAATAACGATAATGGAAGGAGGTGAACTCCGTGACCCGCCATGGATTTTAAATTCTTCTCTTTCCCGTCCTCAAAACTGGTAATGTATTTCTAATAAAGTATAAACCATTGTAAACGAAAATCAATTATAATCAAAGTTTGGTTAAATCAACTCGATATATTTAAATGGAACATTTAATTAAAATTCGTAACTGACGAATTAAGAATTACACTTATTTGTTAACTAACGAAATAAAAATAACCAAACAATAGCCAGGATTTGTTCAAAACGGCACCACGTCTAGAAAGTGCTAATAAAAAATATTCGGTGAAAGTTTCAGATCTCTGCGGTTATTTTCAACTGAATTGCAACGAGAAATAAAACAAAATCGAAAAGAACAGAACTCGTTATTACGTAAATATTCCCGTTTTTCCGACGATTTTTCCTGGTTATTTCCGACTTTAGTAGTATTTTTCTTAGTGAAAAATACAACGGAAAGCAGAGAATTACCGCCACAATGCACCGACATGACAACACTTTCTACCAGAAAACCGGCACTGACGTTGATGATTGGCGCAAGATTTCTTGACGAAAATGATTTACAGACCGAACAAAAAAGTACAGGCGTAATAAAGTGTATAATAAAGTCGGAAACCCAATATTATATTCCTCGCTACACGTTCACAATCTACAATTATAAATTTGTATAATCAGCAATCACGAAATAAAACGTGAAGAACAAGAATATGGTTATTCTTGTTTTTATAATTATTATCCAATTTAATATCTACCCACTCGTGTAAAAACGATTACCGAATTTTTTTTCTAGTAACTTTTTTACGCCGCCGATTCACCAAGTGAACCGAACGGGTTGCAACCATAACAGAGGCGGCTACCACGACAAGAGCTAGGCGTATTTTGAGGGCTCCGCCTGTTAAAATTAGCCTTTTGAAATTGTTTAGATTATCTAAATTTAAAAATAAAAATTTACGTTTTTAATATCGTTGTAATGTTTTATTTAAAATCAATATTTATTGTCATCATAGCAGTTCCTCTGCATCCTGAGAAACGTTATTTTCAACAACGGTAATAATAAATGGTTACATACGATCAACTGTGAATCCAGATCGTTTGGCTTCTCTGTCCGTTCTATATATAGAAAGGAATACGTCTAATAATGTAAACCCAAATGATATTCGTATGATGTTCCATAGAAAATAAGCGTTTACAATATTATAATTTTGGAAATACTTACTTTTTAGTTGTTATAATGCCATTAAATAGGTATTATAGCGTGTGCTTTAAACCGTGTCTTCCCCCTGATGGTTACGAACGATAAAAGTAGGGGGAGGATGATAAATGAATAAATAAACTATGTAATTGAAAACGTATACCTATTAAAAAACTTTTTCAAAGAAGATATGATAATAAAGTACCACCAGACAAACGTTTCGAGAAAAAAACAAATACCTATTATAATACCAGTATTTTCAGAAAAATTGTTTGGAATTTCGAAAAATTATTTTTCAGACGGAAAATCCGCATCTCTTATGGTATCGCGCGATGACAGAAAAAAAAAAAAAAAAAAAGAGGATAATTTTTACTCGTCCCAAAAGTAAAATCCATACTATCGTAATAAAATTAATTTCGCTACACTCAGAATCTACGATTAATAACAATATTATTATCGTACGGGCGTCAATTGATAGATATGGAAAAAAAAAACAATTTTTAAACCGCGCGTTATGATAAGTCTCATTTAGATATACACAGAAACACGGGGTAGCGGAGAATACGAAATGTGTATCACTGAAAATACATACACGGCCAACGGCGTCCGAGCGGCGGGGAGGGGGCGACGTCTCACGGCTCTCCGGCCGCCACCCCTGAATACACAAAAACGTATACATAATATAATATTATTATAAATCAAAATGTTATATCATTATAACAACAACGACAACAACAACAACAGTATAGGCGACGTTCGTTTTCGTTTTTCAATTTCGCCACCGCTCCCGCCGTAGATGACGTTTCCCGGGTGTCCATTACCGGGCCGCCGCCGAACCGGTCGGCCGACAACTTTGCACATTTTCCGTGTTCCCGCGAGAACCGATTATGCGGAGGTCGGCCGTGGTCGACGGCGTAACGCGCCGTTCCGTTCTTCCCTGCTTGCCCGTGCCCTACGCGCGCCCGCCGCTCGCGCGCGCCGCAGCTTACCCGCGCGCCGCGATGCACGCGCGCGTAACGTGTACCCGCCGCCGCCGTCCTTATCGTCGTACAAGATATTGCACTACTACTACGGCCACCGCGCCGCCGCCGCTACTACTTCTACTACTAGTCACTACTTCTACTATACAACACCGCTACTACCACTACGACCACTACGACCGCTCATTACTATGCGACTATTGCAATAATATTTTCAAAACTACGAATTCACTACACCGTTACTCTGACCACCTGACGAATCGACCCGGGCGAATTCACTACGAAATAGCGTATGCGTTTCTTTTTAAAACGGGTGTTTACCTTTACCGGCGTGCATCGGCAAAGGCGACGACGTAACGCCGCCACGCGCGACTATTTTCCGTCAACCCACATTTCGTTTTCCGGCATTTTCGCCGCTCGACGTTATACCGATAATAACGAAACAAACAACTTCACATATAACAGTAGCTTATATAATACGCGAGCAACGCCTCGTTGTGTGTACCCGTGCGTATGTGGCCCGGGACACCGGTAACAATGACGTCGGTTTCACGATCGTTTCGAGACATCATTACGGACATCGCCGTCGTCGCCGTCGTCTAGTATTGTCGTTTCTAGAGTATAATATAATATTTGATATGACATTTTCTCGTTTCGCTCCCGTACGTTGTATTACAGAAATAGAACATCGAAGAATAAAAAGAGAAAAAAAAAAAAAATCAACGACGCGGTATTCGCGGCTACCGTCTTATTTATATTATAATGTACGCGTCGGGCGTTTCGCGCGCGATATCCGCGGACGGGGTTCGGGTGCTGTTTGGGGAGAGGGGGTGAGGGGCTGTGGGGTTTGCGGTTGCGCGGGTACAGGCTAGGCCGGCGATATTGTCGCGCACCGGACGCGTCTACGGGAACACGGCGTCCGGAAAAACGGAAACCGGACTCGCGAAATATAACACGCTCGAGTATTGACAATAATTATTATCGTTTAGGCATTCGGGTATTGCAATAATACACACGGCGGATACGCGTTGTACGTTTTAACCGTTACCTAATTGACATCGCGTATCGGTGTACACGTGCAACGACGAAAATCCGTCTTATCTTGCGGATCGTGCGTGGCCTTACGACGCCAACGAGAAACATAATATCTCTTGACGTGCCTGTAACCACTTACGAACGAATAATACTTAATAATCATAATACCATTCGTCGCCTAATCAGCGATATTATTGTAAAACGGCGAATTGGTAGCGTACGAATGTTTTTTTTTCTGTTTTTTTTTTCCGCTACACGAGATCGACTCCGGCGGACGCGCGTTTTACGCACAACCGTTCCCCTCCTCGTCCCAC